ACACACACACACACACAGAAGGAAGACTGGGCAATCTACTTCTGTAAAGATTTACGGAAGCCCAAAGGGGATCACTGAGTTGGAATTGACTCGATGGCAGTGCATTTGGTTTTGGTTTTGGTGGGATCAAGAAATGATTTTACCATAGAAACCATGTGTGGTGATATTACAATATATATTATTGTAATTCATAGACTAGGAAGAAAGGTCTGGTGATCAACTTCCAAAAATCAACCAATGAAAGCCCTATAGATCACAGCAGTCATGCATGGGATTGCCATGAACCAGGGCCAACTAGGCACATTATCAGATTAAAGGAGAAAATGTCAATTGATAAAACATTTGCTAAGAATCAGTTACCAGTTACTTGGAGTGGAGGGGGGAAGGTGACTAGGAATAGAAAATATTTCCTGAGAAAAGATTTGAGAAATCTAAGAAAAGATTTCTGCCAAAAATCTACACTCAAAATGTCTAATAGTGAAACATGGAAGAATTTCATGAAAATTAAGGAATGAGGCAAGGAAGCTTCTCCCACTAATCTCTGGTCAACAGTGTGTCTGAGTTCTCAACCACCAGCTCTGTAGGCAAGAAAAAGAAATCAGAATGAATGCAGTTTAGAAAGCAAGAAGCAGTACTCTTTTTTTTTTTTTCACAGATAATTTTTGACAAAATCCAAGAGATTACAAACTCCTGGATTTAACAAGAATTTAGTATAATAACTGGATAAATGATACATATACAAAAGTAATTTTGCTTATAAACTTTGTTTATAACTGGAGAATAGAAAAAGTAATTTATAGAAGATCCTGTTTTCTAATGCATTTAAAATTAGTAATAATCTTAACATAAAGATTTTTTTTTAATGGAGAAAGGAAACTATCTGAAGGTTATAATAGAACAATTGAATAAGCAGGGCTATTCTACACCATGCTTAGTGACAAGATACCATATTTTGCAAATGTCAGTTCTCCTGATGTTAATCTATAAATTAGTGTGAGTGAAAATTTGAATAGAATTTATTTGGGTAGATGCACAGGCCAACAATATGTTTATCACAGAGGGCATAGATAAATATAGTAATAGAACAAAGTATAGAGTCCAGAAACTGATAGATACATCTTTTAAATTTGATATTACAGAGATAACTGTAAGTCTTTGGGGGAAAGAATAGACTGGTCAGGAAATGGTGCTGGGTAAATAAACTGATGGGGAAAGTTCTAACGCTATTTTCTGTCATATACAAAAATGCATTCCAGGTGATTAAAAACCTAACTCTGTAGAGCATTGCAGTGTCTCCCACCCCTGCACACTCCTACCGCACAGCCTCTCTGAGTGAATGCAGTGGTACAGTTGGTTAGTGGTGAGACCAGGCCCCTGGCTTGCTGGTGTGTGTGTTTTCACAGAAACTACCACATTCCCATTGCCAAAGTGGACTGAACTGTCTTGATTGGGCCACAAGAGTTAAAAAATGTATTCCATGTCCAAAGAGGATGGTGTTTCCATTTATTTTTGTTCCCTGAGTTCTTAACCCTCTAAGAACACATGAGCAAGCCATTCTCTTGACTCAGAACACTTCACCTCAGAATACTAGGGTTGAACCTGTAAGTGGTCCCTCAAGCTCAGGGAACCTTCTGCGTCCTCCTCTTTGTGGGTCTTCATGTAATTTTTTTTTTTAACACCCTAAGCATACACTATCATAAAGGTAGTAAGTAATAATAAGTAAATTACATGTTTCATACACGTTTCTGGAATTTACATGGAATCATCTTCATGATCAGGCTGTACGAGGTGTAGATAGGCCTACATCTGGCCTAATTTTTTGCCCACTCGGACATGGGGAAAAACCCAAGGGAGATAGTGATGAAGTCGTTTTCTCATGACAGGAATATCAGAAGATCAGCTCTTGAAGGAGTATTGGAGAGGCACACTGGGTTTATCTTTCCTCCATGTAAGGGTCTTGTCTCCTACACGGGGGTTTATGCTTTACTGAGGCTGCTTCTGCAGAGCAGCAGAAGGCTGTTTTTCACTTAGATTTCTTTGCTGTTGGGTGATCTTGTCTTATCCTTAAATGTTAACACTAGAGCTTTTCATTTTCCTGTGAAAGATGTCTTTTAAAAAATTCTAACTCAGGAATTAGTGGTGGCTTTTGTTTGTTTGTTTGTTTTTTAAGCAACTTGCTTTGTAAAACTTGGGAGACAACATTTGTGCTGCCATAAAACATACATTTGTATGCATGGCAGAGGGAAAAATCTTCTCCCAAGTTTGCTTTTCTCCATGATGTGCTCCCAACAGAGAAAATATTTTTATATCACGTATTTGACCAACTTGGCTGAGATTAAAGGCTGGTTTTCTAACCTGGATTTTCTGCCCAAGTTTAAAAGCTGTAAACCGTGAGGGAAAACAGGTCTCTGCAGTCCTCAGATGGATAGGCTGCACACGGTAGGTGGTTGCTCACTCCGTGTGGGTCTCAAGCACATAATTGTCAGGGAGCGTTGGCCAGGATGATCCAGCAGGCCTCTGCCATTAGTCTACCTCTGGAGACAGGGAATGTTCTAAAGGATTTTTGTCATGATTAGAGCTGGGCATAGTAGTTATAATGTAGTCTTTGTACCTGAATGTGTACCCCTTGGCAAAGTTCTAAGAGGTCCTTGAGATGACCTGGAGTTTCCGTTGGTGGATTTCCACAAGGAATGGGAGTTGACCATAGAACATTCTGAGCCTTTTTGTCCCTGCCCTTTCTCTCAAGTTGATCAAGGTACAGATTTTCTTTTTCAATTGCTAGTTTGTGCCTGCGTTCCTGGTAAGGTTAATTTGTAACACCGTCTCTTGATTATCATATGAGGGAGCCCTTGCTATGAATCACAGCTGTCAATACCCATGGCCAGAGGTCCGAATCCATTTGAAAACAAATGCTACCTTGCCTAGGATTACGCAGCCTTTATGAGCTCACTTCAGATTTCATTTGTAGAGGTTATAACCACAATGAAAAACTTGATGTGGTCCTGCTACACCGAGGGTGATAGTCTGAGGGAGAAATAAACATTACAGCTAGAGCTGATAGAGCTGTCAATGTGGAGAGCAAGTGGTGTGTTCTTTTAATGAGTGTATGAAACTCTCTTGTAAGGGTTTTTAGTAGAAAGGGATAGCAAAATTTTGTGTCTGTTTTGTGATGAGGGTGATTTTCTTAGACCATAATGCCTAGGCATTTAAAATTCTTTCCAATACCCTAATGTCAGAGTTTGGATTTCGTTATTATTATTTAGAAATGTCCATTATATTTCTCTCCCTGCACTCTGGTAGCGTAGTGTCTAAGGCACTTGACTACCAACCAGAAGGCTGGCGGTTCAAACCCACCAGCCACTCCTCAGAAAGAAGGTTGGGCAATCTACTTCTGTAGTGATACCGCCTCAGAAACGCAAGGAAGGGTTGCTGTGAGTCAGGTCTGACTCGATGGCACTTAACAACACCACCACTCCAACTGGAAAAGTAATCTCAGTATTTAAGCCACTAACAAGCACAGACCTGACCTACCATAAACAGCATCTCAAGACCTTGGAGAGTAATGCTGGAGAAAACTCATTCTTCTCTCTCTCCTTCAAGCACCCCTTATCTGTCCCTTCCTGCACTTCTCTTTTGTTCACTCGTTCCATCCCCAATTTTTTTTTTTTTTTTTTTTTTTAGGGAGGCTAGGCTCTGCTTTTCACTCTTTTCTATTTTAGGGGACTGGGAATATAATAATAGCATCAAAACTAGTTAACAAAAACTGATTGTATCCAAATAAATAAACAGGCACCTCTTGGTGCTCTCCCTGAAGTTCAGCATAACTTGGGTCGTCAGCCGCAGAGGTGTGGACCCAGCTGTGTATGATCCTTCAGACTTTGATCCACAGGCATTGAGAATGGGGAGATCATCCTCTTGGTTCAGAGTGTGTCACCAGACATGAGGGTCTTTCTCTGCTATGTGATTCCAAATGTGGAATCTGTCATTTGGTGGACTTTCCGAGACTGGTTCTCCTGTTTCCCAGTATGCAGATTGCAGCTTCTAAAACTCCTTATGAGTTATCACTGGCAAAAGGCCATCCTTCCTCACCAAATTCTTCATCACTTTTCAGGATCATTAATGGAAAGGTTTTTATCTGTGTTTATCTGGTGGCATAGTGCCTAAAGCATTTGACTGCTAACCAGAAGGCTGGCAGATCGAACCCATCAGCCACTCCTCAGAAGGAAGGTTGGGCAATCTACTTCCATAGAGATAACACCTCAGAAACCCAAGGAGGGATCGATATGAGTCGGATCTGACTCAACAGCAGTGAGTTTGGTTGTTTGGTTTTATCAGCACTGGGGGAAAGGGAGGCAACAGAGCAGACATGGCACACTGGGTACTTGTCAAAATGCTCATGGCTGAAAACCTGCAGACAGGTTGTTGGTTCACATGGTATTTTTTAAATCAGTCAAGTTCACATTGAATGGGGGCAGAAAAGAGTTCTGGCCTAACATGGAAAATCAAAAGATCCATTGGCATGCTCACGTTTCATCAGCAGTCAGCTATGGCTGAATGACACCTGCTCCTTAATTCAGGTGGGATGTTTCTGCTCCCATCCCCATCACTTCCCATTGTCCTACACCTGGTATGCCCTTTTAGTCATGTGTGGTGGAGAAATCTTGAATTGGGATCCTGATCTCTGAGTCTGCTGGGTATTACACATTCCAGTGAGCATGTTGTGTCCTCTTTACTCTTAACTTTGAGTCCCCCAACATTAATAGGGACTTCCCATATCTTGCATAAAAATTGCTCACTTCTAAAGAAGGACAGGCAATAATGTGTGACATCAGAGATTACCTGTGTTTGTTTCTTCTCTGGATTTATTACTGTGAAGAAAGAGTTAGTGAAACCTTAAGTTTGGTGGTAGGGGTAGGACTGGAAACAGCCCAATGCCCACATTCCCACACAAGATTAATCTCTGTGTATGTGTTTGGCAGGTGTAAGGAAAACAAACCAGGATGGATATTTACGACACTCAAACCTTGGGGGTTGTGGTCTTTGGCGGATTCATGGTTGTCTCTGCTATCGGCATCTTCCTAGTGTCAACCTTCTCCATGAAGGAGACATCATATGAGGAAGCCCTAGCGAATCAGCGCAAAGAAATGGCGAAAACTCACCACCTGAAAGTGGAGAAGAAAAAGAAGGAGAAAACAGTGGAGAAGAAAGGAAAGACCAAGAAAAAGGAAGAGAAACCCAACGGGAAGATACCTGAGCATGAGCCAGCACCCAACATGACCATCCTACTCAAAGAAACAATGCGGGCCTCTCCCGTAGCAGTGGCACCAACCCCAGTCCAGCCCCACGTGGTCATTGCCCCAGTAGCTGCAATACCAGCCATGCCCCAAGAGAAGCTGGCCTCCTGTCCTAAAGACAAAAAGAAGAAGGAGAAAAAAGTGGCAAAGGTGGAACCAGCAGTCAGTCCTATAGTGAATTCCATCCAAGTTCTCACCTCAAAAGCTGCTATCTTGGAAGCTGCTCCCAAGGAGGTGCCTATGGTGGCTGTGCCTCCTGTGGGCGCCAAGACCAGTGCCCCAGTCAGTGGTACAGTTCAAGGCAAAAAGGCAGAAGGAACCCAGAACCAGAGCAAAAAGGGGGAGGGAACCCAGAACCAGGGCAAAAAGGGGGAAGGAACCCCCAATCAAGGCAAAAAGAGTGAAGGGACCCAGAATCAGGGCAAAAAAGTGGAGGGGACCCCCAATCAGGGCAAAAAGACAGAAGGAACCCCCAACCAGGGCAGAAAGGCAGAGGGAACCCCCAGCCAGGGCAAAAAGGCAGAGGGACCTCCCAGCCAGGGCAAAAAGATGGAAGGAACCCAGAACCAGGGTAAGAAGACGGAAGGAACCCCCAACCAAGGCAAGAAGACGGAAGGAACAGCCAACCAAGGCAGAAAGGCAGAGGGAACCCAGAATCAGGGCAAAAAGGCAGAGGGGGCCCAGAATCAGGGCAAAAAAGTAGAGGGGCCCCTCAATCAAGGCAAAAAAGTGGAAGGGGCCCAGAACCAGGGCAAAAAAGCAGAAAGTGCTCAAAATCAGGGCAAAAAAGTAGAAGGGACCCCTAACCAGGGCAAAAAGGCAGAGGGGACCCAGAACCAGAGCAAAAAGGCAGAAGGGGCCCAGAACCAGGGAAAAAAGGCAGAGGGGGCCCAGAACCAGGGAAAAAAGGTGGAGGGGGCCCAGAACCAGGGAAAAAAGGCAGAGGGGGCCCAGAACCAGGGAAAAAAGG